TATCGTCTAGGTATACTACTATAAAGATATCTAAGTATTTATATAGGATATTATTAATTATCTATTAAAAGGTAGCTAGTATATTTATAAGTTTAAATAGTACTACTAGATATTTAAATAGTCTAAATTTTATTTTAAAGGCTATTATCTATTTATATCCTTTTTTTATATATACTAAGTTATAAGCGCCTTTAAGGTTAAAGGCTATAAACTATTTTTTACTATATAGTCGATCTTATAGTTCCGATATAAGCGGTAATAATATTCCGTCCTTTATTATAATATCGTTTAAGCGTCTATAGTTAATAACTAGTTATAGCTTACTATTTTTCTTTAAAATAAATATAACTAGATAGCCTACTTTAAATATTAACGTTTATATATATCCCTTTTATAGATTTTCGTTAAAGTAGTTATATAGCGTTTATAGTTACTTTTCGTTTAAGTTATAGATCTTATAAAACGTTAGCGTTATTCTATCCTTAAGATAAATTTTATAGTCCTATTAACTATATTTAGGTAACCTTATCTTAAGTTCTTCCTTAAAGAGTTTATTATATTTCCGGTATTCTTAGAGGATATTTTTTTATTTTATCTTATAGGCTTTATTCTTTTTTTTAAGAGCTAGTTTCTCTTAACTTAAGCTCTTTATTAATTTATTTAAGGTCTTTCCTTAAAGTAGTAATAACTCTTTAAATCTTTATATTATATCCTTTATTTTATTTATATTAGATACTAAGTTATATAGCTATATTAGTTAGTACGTAGGTCTTATTAGTCGATTTTATTATATCCGCTAGTTTAGTTACTATTTTCGTTTATATTACTAAAGCTTATAATAATTTACTTAAATAGTTATCCCTTTTATCCTATTTAATAGCTAAATTATCGTAAAATTTTACTTTCTTTTAAATCTACTAGTCTTAGAAACTTATATCTTCGTTTTAATATAGCTAGCTAGTTTTTTAGTTAATTAGGAGATTGCTCTCTTATAGCTATAAAAGCCTTAATATAAGGTTATATTCTTTAATATTTATAATATTAAAGTTAACTTATTTATTATAACCCTAGATATTAATATTAAGGTAATTAATCTCTATATTAATAATTCCGTTATTATAGTTAAAGGCCTCTCTTTTAATATTTATAAGTTTATATAGATCTTTCTTATATCTCTATATAAGTTAGTAACGATTAATAACTTTAGGTATAATATTATTACCTATCGCGCTATAGTCTAAAAGTATATACGCGTAATATCCTACGATTTAGATATCTAATACTATTTAGTTACTATAGCTTACTATTACTATATATAGGGTCCTTAGATCTTATTATATCGTGCTAGTCTATAGCCCTTTTATAGATAGTATACCTTATTTTTTACCTAGTCCTTATTTATTTTATTTAGGTATTCTTCTTTAATTTATTATTAATATCGTTTCTTTACGTTTTTATTATATAATATTATATTAGGGCTTAAGAGACTAATTTCTTATAGCTAATCGAAGATTTCTTATTTCTTAACGCTATATCGTTTATATTATACTACTTTATAGTTAATTATATACTATACTTTATAATTCTATTTATTTTTAACTAAAGGTTAAGTTTTCGTTCTATATCTTTCTATTTTTTATATAATATTTCTATATCGATTTTTCCTTAGTTAAATATAGCCTATAGCCTTTATATATATTACTAATAATCTTTTAATATACTATTATATCGTTTATACTATACCTATGCTTTTTTATATTTATAAACTCTATAGTTTAGGTATATATATTTATTATAATCTTCCTCGTTATATTTAACTTATTATATAAGTCTTTAAAAGATTAAGGGTTTAAATACCTTAAAGTAAGTAGCGTTATACTATTCTTTTATTTTAGCGTATTTATAGATTTTATATATCTTTAAAAGATATCTTATTAATAAACCGTAATTATCGCGGTATTTAAGTAGTATACCGTAATTAGGTTCTAATAATATAACTTAGTTATTTAGGTAGCGTTAATCGATTTTCTAGTAGTTTAGTTTTATACTTAAGTAGGGTTTTAAAAGTACTTATCCCTTAAACCTAACTAAGAAGGCGTTATATCGTGCCTTTATTTAAAAGTATATTATATAATCTAGGTAAACGTATAATATCTATAAAATATACTTATAGTACTTATAAGTAAGTAGTATTTATAGATCGTCTTTAAATTCTCCTTATAGTTACTATTCTTATTATAGAGCTATAAAGGTATTAACTATAGTAATAGCTATAGCGTAGTCTCCTTTATATAGTACTAGTTAATATTAAATTAATATAGCTTATTAGTTTTCTATAAGAATTTAAAGCGTTTATTAAGTTCTAATTTTAAGTATTTCTTTAAATTCTTTAAAGTATAGAGCGTGTTCTTTAATCGTAGTATTCTCCCTTAATAGCAAGGGTAGTAATATAAGTTCGTTCTTATCTTTTATTTCTCTAGGTATTTCTTATTCTTTAGAGCTTATATTATCGATACTTTATTATTCCTCCTTAGGTTATTATCTAAGTTTTATAAGTATAAGGGCTATATTTATATCTTCTTTATTATATTATTTATAGACTACCTATTATTATTATTAATTTTTATTTTATATATCTTTTTAGAATCGTTTACCGTTCTTCTTAATCTAGTCTTAAGAGACTCCTTTAAGATAAAGGTATTCCGGTTTTATAAATTTAACTTATTTCTATATTTTAAGATCTCTTTATTATATTATTATAAGGGTTTTCTTTAGTAGCTTTAGGAACTATCTGGTACTATTCTTATCGCTTAAGTATACTATATATTTATCGTTATAGTATATAGTCTAACTAAGGAGTTTATACTTTAGTTCCTATTTATTAATAGCGTTTAGGTATTTCTTACCTTTTAAGGCTAGTACTTAATAGGTTTTCTTCTCCTTATAAGGTTATCTATATTCTTTAAAGTAATATCTAAGTTTCTTATAGTTAAAATACTTTCCTTTACTTTTCTATATTATATTTAGGTTTATCCTACCTAAGTTAGTTATATAGGCGTAGGTAATAAGAGTTTCGCGCTTCTTTTTATAGTTAGCGCGTTAGTTAAAGTTATTCCTATAAGAAGGGTTTTAGTTTCCTCTTCCTTATTTCTTTTCTTAGCGTCGCGTATACTATCTATTATTAATTTATATTACTATAGTAATATAGTCTAAGAGGTTATTAGGTCGATTTTCCTTATAGAGCTCGTCCTTAACTTCTTTTTTAAGCTTATCGTAGAATTATAATATAAGAGGTTTATTGTCTTAATTAAGCTTTAAGGTAACTTAACGGAACTTCGTAGTATAATCTAATACTAAGATCCTTTATCGGAGTTCTTAGAGTTTCTATTTAGCTTCTTATTCTTTATTAGTTATTTTAAATACCTTTATAATAGCTTCTTTAAATCCTTAGAAACTAATGAAGACTTTATCTATCTTATTATCTTATCGCGCTAGTTAGTTATCGAGAAAATCCCTTATAATAGGTTTAAACTAAGCGATTACTATTCTAAATAAATAATTTCCTATATAAAGTACCTTTTTAACTAAGTCTAAGAGTTTAGTAAGGTAAAACCGGTAGTAGGCCTTAAGTTAAGTAAGAAAGTCTTAAAGCGTGCTATAAGTACTATTAAATAGTCCTAGCTATTTTAGTTTAATTACTTCTCTAAGGTCCCTAACTTATCTATTACCTCCTTTATTCCTAAGTAACTATACCTTATATTAAAGGGTAATAATTTCGCGTATTATATCTTAAGGCGATATAGTAGCTCTAGAGTTAGTTAATCTAGCTTACTATATAGGTATATTAATAGTTACGATATTACTTAGAGTAACGCGGTATTATACTAAATAAGAGCTTTTAATATATAACGACCGGTATTATTCCTAAGGGATAAACCTATCGAGGGGTTTATATTAGTAGATATAATAAGGCGTAGTCTAAGTAATAATATATATATTACGTTAGTAATAAGTCGGAGGTTATAGACCGTAGACTATAACTAGGTAATTAGAATTAAAGATAGAATCGTAATAAAGATCTATAATATATTAAAAGCTAGAGAGCTATCTGTCTAAAGGAGTGAAAGTAGGTGGCTATATATACCCGTAGAGACTGTCCTTAGATCACGGTCCTGGCCGTGATCCCCTTCGTGGCTTACTATAGCTCACTCGTGAGCTATGCTCCTAAGTGGTGATCTATCCATATAAGGCTCACTTGGCTCACGTACGCTCTAGGTGAGCCAAGCCTGAGTGACTTCTCGTCCCGACTATTGTTCCGAGCCGCCTTGTCACGTGAACGTGGCCGGCTCTCCTGCGGCCCGCTGACCGTGGTCGTAACAGCGCGGGAGGAACTAGACTAACCTTTTCTTTATCTTTGCCTTTATAGCTACCCTTTCCTTAATTAGTTATAAGCCCCCGGGCTCTATAGCTAGCTAGGACTACTAATAAGGGCCTAGGCCCTTATTAGCCTCGCTACTATATACGAGTAATAATATAAAAAAAATTCCCTTTCTTAACCCTTACTCTAACCCTATAGTGCACTAATAACTCGTCTATTATTGCGGTAAGGTGGCTTTAGAGTATTGCTGATCTGCAGGCCGGAAGCGTTTGCCGGCCGATGCTACGATATACTGCCTCGTTTATACCTGAGGGGAGAGAGACAGGGCGCCATGGAGGGCATTCAGCTGCGGGCTAATTATAGCTGGTACACATGACCTCAATCGCAAAGTAACATTTTGTCTTGAATATTTAGGATTAGGAAAAGGGTCAGCGTTGAGGCCGTAAAGGACTAAATGCCTTGTATACAGAACGGTCCACCAACATCATGCTCATCATCTGGGGAAATTGACGAACGAGGGCACGGCCGTTGAATGCGGATTAGTTCGCAGAAAAAGACCAGTATACGGACACCTGAGTGTTTCAACAGAATGGAGGCCCAGATGCGCGAACTACGACCCAGGCTAAACCGGTATAACTTCACGCCTGGCGGAGGTGCGGGAGCTCAATGATGGACCGTCCTTTGAGTGAGGTTTGCCAGAGTCGGCGCCTCCAGAAGCCATTTTAATCCTCAACGCACCCACTCCCCGGACACCAAGATCGAGATTTTAATTACGCTACTACCCCCTCCCTGGTATCCTCTTTAAATCGTTAAACCAGACATACCTGCTTAGAATCATATATAAATGACGATCCCACGACCACTGGCTGTCGTGACTTGCAAATGCATCCCGCGTCCTGGCGTACCGGTGCCATGTGCTGGCAACCAGCGCCTTTTTGCTATAGCGAGGACCCTCTGTCGTCGAGAGGGAGAAGATGGCAGCGAAAATTCTCCAGGTGAACGGCAGCACGGTGAGCGGCAGGTCGAAAAGGGCGGTGAACTTGCGGATTAACGACGTGGTGACCAGCATGTAGGCGGCAGGGGCCTTGCCGTCGTTCATGACATACTCTCTGATAAAGAGGAGGAGGGTCAACCGATTTCCATAAGGGTTAACCATGAAGCGAATAGCACATGCAAACGAAAGCTCACCTGACAGCAGCGCTCACGGCACGGTGGTTCACGTGCCCGGAGATGCCACCCTCGTCAAATGTGATGATCCGTATGGTGCGTTAGCAGGCGCAACAGTCGACAGAAACGAGTTCGAGGATCAGATTTACCGCGTCAACGTCCCACTTGCGGACATAGTCTTTGATGATGCTCTGGATTTTGGCGGTATCCCACCAGACACTAGGGCTGTCCTGAAGGTCGGGGTGGTCCAACGCCTCACACCGCGACAGATCGATTCCGAGGGCGACGCACGATCCCTTGAGTTCTTGCCTTCGCTTCGCACCTATGCCATAATGGTCCCCTAAGAAAGCAGGCGACATAGCGCTGTAAGTCACACAGCCTTGAACTGCGCCCGCTAAGCGCGAGTGCGTGTGTGCAAAGTAGGAAGCGACAGGTGATTGCTTCCGACGCCGGGGAAACTCACCAGTGGACATGACCAGGAGCCCACCCTTTGTGTTGGGACTCCCGTCCAGCACACTGAGAATGCTGGGGGCAAAGAAGAGGCACTCGTCGTCTGGGTGTGCGGTCATAATCAAGAGGCTTTTGGCGTGCTGCAGCTCGAGCGGAAGAAGTCGAGCGTCGCTGCCGACAAGATACGCGAGAGTCCATTGCAGGACAATGGGGATGGGGAGGACGACGAGAGCGATGCGGACGAGGGTACGGCGGCGAATGCGCTTGGCCAAAAGCCAGGAGCAGAACTCGAAGGCGGCTTGGTCGCCAGTCTTGCGTGGCATGATGCGTGTGCTTGGCATGGAGTATTGCCTTTGAGGCTACAGGCCTTTTTTTATTAGTCGTCGGTTGAGAGCAGAAATGATGAAAGGCCCCAAAGAATCGATGAATAGGGGGACACGCCGGCAAGACAAAGGCAGGGAGAATGAAACGCCTTACGAATATTGCTTGATCGGGCTATACCTGACCTTGCCTCATCTGTTCAAACTTGGTGGCAAAAAGGGAAGAGCATAAAAAGGTAAAGAGGCGAGTTGAGCGGACGCTACGGAGCACTAGGAGGGCTTTCAGGACCGCTGGATCGGCGCCAAAAGAAGTTATATATAGAGTCTTGACGCAATTGGGGCTTTATAATGACAGACAGTTACTTCGCAACTACTCCGGGTTGGCGGAGGCGATACAAAGATTGCGGCTTTGCAACCGCGTGTCTTGCAGCATCAACAAGCTGCTTTACTTGCGGGGAAGCAAGGACTGTGTTTTAATACTTCGTAGCCAACATATTCGACCAGGGTCTACTTAGATTTACTTGGCTGATACGCCTACTTCGTACAGATACTAATCATCTAGCTACCTACACATGTTCCCTCTGCCGGTCGGCGACCTCTCTCCCTTTCCCAGTCAGTCGCCCCCTGTGCTTGAAAGGCGCGTAGACCCGCTGCCCTCAAAGGCCCCCCTCCCTAGTCCGGCTATCTCGGCCGCTAGCCGGCCGCCCTCCGCTATTTCTGGGCAAAACAGGCACGAGGCGTCAATCAATCCGGGGGAAAGCTTGAGGACCAACACCGGAAACGTTACATGTGGTGTGAGCTACTAAACAGGCGGAAAACACGAGCTATGAAGCACCAAGGTTAACATACAGACGGCTCATGACCATTCACGGGAAGCGGAATAATACTCGACGTCGAGTTTGAGAGTTGTATATTGGGCTGCTTCGTCAGTGATGTTTTACCCCGGCCTCCGATTGCGGTTTACTTTTCCGCAAACATTGTAATATCACCCTTCGTCCAACAAACAGCACCAGCGCAACTCCCAGGACTAGGAAAACCGGCAGGTTCGCCTGGTTGCCCAGTGCGGTAATCAGGCGGGCGTCGTATGAATGCCATGACGAGCTCCCTAGGTGGTCAAAGATGGGCGTTGAGGAAGGTCCGTTGAGGCTATGCATCGGTTTTGGAAGAACCTTGAGGTCGGTCCGGTTTGGCTGCAGCGCGTGGATGACAGACGCGAAGTGGCATCCAGTGCTGAACATGACGCTTGGGTACGGCAGGCCGAGCCACTGCCGGTTATGGACGGAGAGGCTGCGCACAATGTCGCCGGCAAAGGAGTTTCCCTTGGCAGCCATCATGAAGCCGATGGAGAAGCCGGTCGGATGAGCCTCAGGCGCGACGAAGCTGAACCGCCGCAACGGGCCCAAAGCTCTCTTACACCGGAGGTCTACGTCCAGAATCACCCCTCCGTATTCGTAGAGGACCATGTATCGTAGGGAGTCGATTCGTTGGATCTGATACGGGTAATTTTCCCACATTTCCCGGAGCTCGGGGAATTTTTCGGCCACAAACTTGGATGCATTCTCTTCCGACCAGATGTGCGACTGCCAGCCCGGATGCCTGTCCAGGCAGCTCCGCATCGCGTCTTCCGACTCATCTCTCCATCGGCTTCCGTGCTTGCCGAAGACGATATGATGTAGGATCGGAGGCACGAGGTCATCGTAGGGGGTAGCCGATAGCTGGTTCTCATCATAGTCGGCAAACGTAATATCAAAGTGGTCGTGCGTCTTAGAGAGGACGAACTCGTCGGCGGTGCTGCTCCAGTAGACGCCGAGAGAGGCCAGCGTCCATGATGTGTATATCAGATGACGGAACAACCAGCCAATTGCGACAAGAGTCAGAATCGTGGCCCCTGTGACAATGCGAGACCTACTGGTAGAGGCGAAATGTTGGATTCGGAGGAGATGGTTGGGCATGGCGGCACCGCGACTGCTTGATCTGGTGTCTCGTCAATAAGGCGAACGCAAGCTTGAATAAGTCGAGGCAATTCGACGCCAGCATGCCGAGGAATTGTTCCCACAGCCGAGAGGCAGACATACCTTGACCACGTTTTCGCTAGGAAGAGGACAAATGAAGGAAGGACAGGTTTCATGCCAACTTCAGAGTGCAAACGGTGGGGACCGGCCATGCGCGGCTCTGGGCTCCGTGCTTGTAAGGTCCGCCGCCGCCTCACCGTAGCAACCTGTATCCTGGAGCATGCCGCCCGCAATGGCTTTTGCGCGGCTAGGTTTTATGTGCCGCACCAGTAAACGGTGGCAAAGCTTGCGGCGTCTGCCCGGCTATCGTCCGACCAAACTTTAGCCTTGCTGTCTCTCGTATGGCCGACAGTTCCGTAGACTCTCGTGGGGGGCCCCGGTGGTCTAGTAGTCGGACCGCCCGAGGGTCCGGTAGCAGAAGCTATCACCTGCATGCGCACAGCCGTAGCTAACCTCTCTTTGCCCCTTCTGCCCTGCTCTGTCGTTCTGCCATCGTGATCAGACGTCTTGCGCATGGCTGAGACTCAATAGGGGGCTTAGCGTGAGACCGCTAACTGTGGGCGAATGACATTTGGTTTCATCTTTTTTGGGTTCCTCGCTGTCCTCCGCGAATTTGGCCTCCTTGATACGCTCGTCCTCTTCAGCTACATTCTGGGGGGTTGCGATTGAGTCAGGCAGACGTTAGAAGGATTGGTCGACCGAAGCAGGCATTATAATCATATAGAAACGGGAAGCCGCAACGGAGAACGCATGCAAACACTGGCCTATACCGGTAGCCTAGGAATCGCAATGACCACCTACCTGGTGGCGATGTGACGGATTAACTTGCTGGGGCATTTGTCCTGTGATGCAAAGTCATCATGGCAGCAGCCATTGGCAAACACGGCGACATCTCAGTACTGCTCTCCTCCCTAGTTGATCTGTGCACTTGCCGCTCTTGTCTTCGGTTGGATATATGAATTGTTGTATTTCGCCCGGAGCGATGTCCCGGGCCTCGACATGATCTAGTTTGCACTTCAGCATATTTGGTAGCTTTATACCTACGTATACTTCGTACTGCGTGCCTGGTTAACATCATGAGCCCTACAGATCGTCGCTATGTTGCTTGCCGATCAATGTCGTCGTTGTCTCTTCCATTAATTCTTCGCGTGTTCGGCGTCCCATCCTCGCCAGCTGAAGCACTGTCTACCAAAGCCGAGGCTCAGGCTCTATTTTGTCGGTTTTAGTCGCACGCTAGAAGTTAGGCTACTTTGCGTATGGCCGCTGGTCCGTGTCCAGCCAGCCTCCTCTTTGTCGCAATGGCGGATTTGTTGGCCGCAAGCTCGGCCGCCACGTCTGGCTCCCGCTTGTATCGTCGTCCGATGCGACCTTTCCCAACGAGAAGAATGACAATTGCCCAGCGTTTGTTCGTGAGCCCTACAGCATGACTTCCCGTGGCATTTTCAACCTCTTGCCTCGGAACAGGGAGTGCTCGATCGTCTCGGCTGCTCGTCCATAATCTCATATGGCCGATTTTGCTGCTCCGATCTGTTCTGTCCAGGTAGCTGTCCAGTCGCATCATGCCGGCCCGAACGAAGCCGAACCAGCACGTCGGATTCTTTTCTTTTCAGCAAGTCATATAGTGCACGAGTGCTTGTCTGATAGCGCCTTGTTGCTCACACCACCGTTGTGGACCTTGTTTGGCACGATAGCGTCTCTACTATGCACTCTACCTGGGTGGATTTCTGCACTACTGCCTCGGCAATCGGGTTCAATGCAAAGTCTTCGTCCTTGGCCGGCACCGGCACGAGTCGAAAAAAACAGCCTCGTTTTCCGAGGCATCTGGAGTGGTCGTGTATCTGTCGAAGAGTGCATTGACCGGATTGCTGCCGAGGGCGCCTGATCCCTTCCACGGCCGAGCGGTTGCTCGCCACCACTGCCTCGTACCGAAAAAGAAGCCCATGCGACATGCCCTCCAGCCCCATTACGAAGTGCTCCGGCAGGCTATGGAGTACAGGGGTGGCTTGAGGTGGATTTCCAGCCGCTCACTGGCGCTTCGAGGCAAACAGAACACTAGTTTTGTCAGCTGGTTAATTAATTAACTTACGAAGTAACTTAGAAAAGTAAGACTGACAGTGGTTAGATGTCCAGAACGGTCGAGGCCCGACGGCGGCCTTGCTCCTAGCTTCTGGTGCTCTGCATTGAGAGGTAGAGATGCCAGTCCACTGACTGAAAAGTGGGCATAAGACGTTTTGCACCAGAATGGCAGCGCCAAGGAAGGCGATCTTCTTGTTATAAATAATAAATAACAGTGGTACCCCCACGCTCTTTCATATCACACTCATTGTCTTGCACTTGTACTCTGCATGATCATGGTCCTTTGTTAGAGCGATTGTAGGGTGCTCAGAGCGCCCTCCCCGGCCCATGGCATCCAGGAGAAACTTTTCCCTCCGACCCAGCCTCCTCTTGCGCGGGCGGCAGCACGCCCATATACGTGGCACCATTTCTCAATGGCAGCAGTAGGCCTTGGTGCCCGACAAGCAATCCAGCTTTTTGCGCTCGAAAAGCCGCCATTTGTCAGGGCATTTGCCCCTACAAATGGGACGAGTGCCGAACCAGCCGCATTGCTTGCCAGCGGCGGCTTCAGACTGGTCTGGTGCATGAAGACTGCTTAGCTGGCAAAACGATGCGTATGCCGCGAGATAAACTGATCGGAGTATTCTTCGTACGCGACTTACCGGCAGTGGCAGCCGAGACCAGGGACAGAACGGCGAGCAGAGTCGGGACATGCATTTTGGTCAGCATCCGTCGGGAATGTGGAGCAGAAGTGTGTGACGAACGACATGCCCATCGCCACCTTATATAGGCTCCATGGCTTATTTTTACTGGCAATGCTGTCCTTGATGCATATTGCTTTACAGAGTAGTTATCCCGGCTGATGTGTCAGGTAGGTACATGAGGGAGAGCGGACGAGAAACAGGTCAGCTTTGAGGCCGTAATACCCCGAACGAGCAACTTAACGTGTACTAACCACATTACCGCAAGAACCAGAATTTCGGCCCCCGGACTCGAGCAACCTTAAAGCTCACCGCCTCGTGGCTAGCTGAAATGGGAAGCACGTATTTAACTTGGAAATTCCAGACGCTCTTGGCCGGCGGCACGAAGTACGAAGCAATCGATGCCAAGTACGAATACGGGTACTTCGTAGCATACAAGAATGGGGAATTTGGTGCTGCTTCGACGGCCTACACATACGATGAGCAGCGAGTTTAGTGTCCGGAAACCATGCCTGGCCGCTGTTGGCCGCTTGCATCAGCGCAGCCGCGAGCTGACGGACCTGTCCCATACACGTACTTGGTAGTCTCACCCTTGGCCTGCGCATTCCAAGACGTCGTCGACTTGTTGTTGACCCTGTTCTGTCACGAAGAGGATGTGAGTGAAAGCTAAGGGAGGCAATGGCTGAGAGTGCCCTACGCAGCTGTTTCTGACCTTCACGGATACTAGCCGTTCAATTAATTCCGAGAGAGGAAAAGGCTGGGCGTTGTGGAGGCCCTAATTCGTACCAAGGCACCTTTCCCAGCCGCGCCACTCTCGGTTCCGCTTCGCGCCTAGCTCTGTATTATCATCCCAGGGGAAGGGGGATGCCATTCGCCTGGGGTCAAGCAAGGAGGGGCATGTCGGCATTTTTCTGCCGATCCTGGCCTCCGAGCGTGCTCCGGCCGTCCCCGGACGAGGGGCTTATACTTTTGTCTCGCGGCGGAAGCGCCTTTCAGAGGCGCTTCTGCTCCGTAACCACAGCATCCCGCACCTGGTTGGCGCACTTGACCGGGGCGGCGTGTGCTCTGTTTTTGTGCCCTGCAAACATAGTCAATATGTTTTGGATTGATCGGTGCTAAGCATTTTGATAAAACATGGTTCGAGCGTCGACGGACGCAACACTTGTTTTGCCAGCAGGTCCCATCCCGGGCTTGAATCGCACGGCGGCCTTTCCATCAGAATGCCGGGCTGTGTTTCAGCCTGGGCCTTTCTCACCTCCTTCAGCACTCTCGTCTGACAGTCCTGCAGGCTCTCCGGGGCCGGGCCGGCTATGCCCCCAAGAGCTCTCTAGCTCAAAGGGGATATCCCAGGGCAGGGCCGTTCCTATCCTCCACTTCATTTCTAGTATTTCCTGTCGCCGTGATCTAATCTCTATTCGCTCCCGGGCCGTCCTTCGAGGTAACTAACACGCTATGTATGCTGGAAAAAGCAAGGCTGGGAAGCTCTCCGGCGTGTTGGACCGCAACACTAAAAAGCAAACCGGCAGCAAATTACGGCTCTTCTTCGCCGCCCACTACAACGTCTTTTCCGAAAACTAAGAGGTGCCTTTTTTTTATCTTATTACTCGCATATAGCCTCTAAGGCTATAGCGAGGCTAATAAGGGCCTAGGCCCCTATTAGTAGTCCTAGCTAGCTATAGAGCCTAGGGGCTTATAACTATTTAGGAAAAAGGTATTACGGAGTATATAAAGGCGTAGGCTTTTTTTTATTACTTATATAGAGCCTCTAGGGCTATAGTAAGGCTAATAAGGGCCTAGGCCCCTATTAATAGTCCTAGCTAGCTATAGAGCTTAGGGGCTTATAACTAATTAAGGAAAGGGTAGCTATATATAAGAGTCTAGGCATTACTTAAATAGTTAATAAGTATATAGTATAGTTAATAAGTATATAGTATAGTTAATAAGTATATAGTATAGTTAATAAGTATATAGTATAGTTAATAAGTATAGTTAATTAATAAGCTAGGTAGCTTAGTTAATTTATTACCTTTTATTATATATATATAATACGCTATATATAAGGCCCTTACTTAAAGGACCCTTTTAGTCTTTATTAGCTACTTATAAAGAAAGGGCTAGTTATAACGACCGGTGTTATTCTTAAGGGATAAACCTATCGAGGGGTTTATATTAATAGATATAATA